CATTTTAGGTCAGGAAGTGAGGGCAGTATACATTGCCTCGGATTGGACAAACGGAGGTTGGTGGACTAGGAAGGGTCTTAACCGCCCTCGATAGAAAGTTGCTAGTAGGAAGCATCGTAGGTGAGAAAAAATAACTTTCCCGTGTCAAGCCGTAGTAAACAATAGTTTTTAGGAACTGATTTAGAAAAAGACATTTGTTGGGTCTGAAGGACCTTAGCAGGCAAGTGACTCGGGTTTATGACGGGTGCTTAAGGCTATTGAGGGTACGCCGTACGGAAGAGCGGACATCTGGTGTCCGTCTGGCCCGCGGTGAGTGACCTGGGCCAGGCAGAGAGTCGCCCGGCGTAACAAATACAATAACAGTCAATAACAAATCTGCTATAAATTTTACTTAGAAAGTTGAGAATCGATTTTCTAAGTTCTAAATTATCATTCTTCTACATTCTTCTACAAAACAAAAGTAAAAATGTCGGTTGATCGGTAGTTTGAATTCTATAGAATTTAGATGTATTAAGTTGTCCGAAAAATTTCTTTCGTTTTATGAGAAAATAATAGACGCATAACGTTTTTCGTTTTATATTATTTTGTCGAATTATGTACGATTCATTTTGTTCTGTTGAGACAAACACTGCGACATTTCACAAACTTGGTTTCACGTTTGTGTGAAGATGCACTGTTGTAAAAACACGTTTGCGAAAGAAAGACACTTTCCGGACAACTTAATATATAAAATAAATATAAAAATTCTTAAACCTTTAGATTTGACGTCGATTTTTCCATGGTGCATAAACATTATATCAAGTACTCGAGGTTCGAATCAGCAATGTAGTCGAAATTTAACCATCTCAACGCTATCTAAACACTATATTTTGAATAACAGTTTATAAAATTTTGATCTGTTAATGGGTTTTTATAAAACCAAGATATTCGTATCTGCAGATATTTATCGCATATTCATATGTGTAATAGATATTTCATTAGAAAATTCAGGTACTCGTATAATTTGCGAAATTAAAAGAAAAGAATCTGTTGTAGTAATTATTTTATAAGAAGCATCTTAATATTTAAAGAAAAGAAGATAACTTAAATTACTTTCTAAAACTATCTAAAACAAAAATATTCGTGAAAATCTGGATTTTAAAAATCGATTTCTACGAAGACCTCGCTTCTCGTATCATATGTATTTTGAATTTTATTAGATTTTATTTTGAATTCAAATGTAAAGGTGAACGTTTGTCACGAGAAAAGTTGTTATGACCCGACAACTGAAACGTATTATACGAAAGAAACTAATATAGCAATAAAGCATGAGAACATTCTTCTTCGTTATTGTCCGCTATCAGGTGAATGTTACACCTAATGCGAAGCAAAAGGTAAATCCTCTTACCTCTTTGTCACCTAGCTGATGAACTCTGCAATGAAGGAAAGCAGTCTGACCAACCGCGGTGGTCACGTTTCGTGGAACGTTCATTTCGAACGTCGGTGCGTTGGTGATGTTGTGATTGCCGAAAACATTTCCTCCTACCAGCTTTTGATCCCGAACAAATGTGCCTAGAAACAACGATTAAGTAAAATTTAATTCACGAGAATTGTGGAATTGCTTAATTAACTGATTATTCGTAGGATTTATTAATAGAATTAAAGTCAAATGGGCAATGAAACTATGTTTAACACTTTAACTACAACGCCGAAATCACATGTTTCGCTTAGATCACCACGGGAATATTTTTATTATTCAAAACATATAATGGCAAAATAATAATAAATTGATTATGAAAGACAACATTTTTCCCCAATGGACCGTTCATTTTATTGGTGGTCACGGGTGACCACCGTGGCACCTTGCTAACAGTTGATAGCGACATATTATAACGAGGCTTCTTTTATTTCAACAAACTATTTGCATTCGTTATTTCGTCGTAAGCAAAATGTCCAGAATATATTGATGAAACGCGTAGAAGATATTAGTAGAGTATTGCTCATTCTATATGTAATAGTAAGGTATGTGCACATTTCTAACTTCGATTATATGATTATAAAGCAGCATTTAGGATTATTTTCTAAGGTGTGTTTATAATAATATTCGTAGATTAGCCCTGAAAGATATGGATGCAAATACAGTGCACAGTTAAATGCAAGATTTGTTCTCATTTTTTTTTATTGATATTCTAATAAAAATGTTTCATTGTTCAATGGGGCACTTTTTATTTCAAAGTATCTTCTATTTATCGGTTATATTCAAAATGCTCTAGCTGTCAATTTTCATACAATTTTTACAATTGTAAGAAATTCAAGCGCTCCGGTCACCAATGACCACCGTGGCGTCACAGGAGAAACTGTGGCCGGTCATACATGACCAGCGTGGTAGCCAAAGTGTTAATTTTAAGATCATCACATTTTGCATATTTTTATGTTGAAATTTATGCGATGGTTTCAAACATTCAAGTTTCAAATTCATCTGTTCGTTAGTAACACAATGTTATGACTGCCTACATAAACATTAATATATTCAATTTAAATCTCAAATAAAAGTAAGGTAATTTTGAAAAGCACGCGAAAAGAATTTGGACATTGTCTGTGTTAACATCCGCTTGATTCCTGAGAGCAAGGTTCTACGATTCTCCTACACTCTTAAATTCAAATAAATGTGTCACTATTCTTGAATATTTATTTGAGGTCGAAAAGTATTATGCAATATATTTATCAAAATCACAACGTCACGGATTTCGTCATCGTTCGCCTCGTAGTAACAAGCTAAGCGAAATTCAATAACTCCTTTGGAAATGGAGGCAACGTCAACGTCGCCAGTAGCACCTGCGAGTCTATTGTTCCTACGGTCACGATAGCCTTTTATGACAGTAACTATTATGAGATCCCAGCCGACAAGGAATCGCCGTGGCGCATTGTGATTTCTATTGGCTATTGTTATCGTTATCAAGAGAAATAGCGGATTCCAATGACAGCTGTCAATGCCTACTTCATTATTGATTGTCGATGCTTGAACCAGATAACTGTACGGCTCTCCGACCACCGGTAACCAGAAATCGTCAAAGGTTGATTAATCTAAGCTTTTAACAGGAAGATTTCGTGAAAGCACCAAACTGTTTCGAGTTATGCGTTTCCTTATCGATATTCTTGTCGAACACGAGCGGCTCCTTTTCGGAATCCAACAACGGGCTAACTTGTGAACACCGTGATTTCAACGACAAAGCGTCGAATTTGACTTGAAGCGTACTAAGCTTAATGCATCCATAAATTAGGTTACTTGCAGGTTATGTTACAGAGTGTAAAAGCCCTATATGCGAGCAGTACTCTGGATTCGTTACTCCAAGTAAAAGTGTTATTCGCAAATTTGATTTATCAAGCATCTTTTACAACTTGGAGTTATTAAATAACGGATACTCCTTTTTATTTTTTTCTAAAAGAAGATAATTTTCATTCCTTGATTTTAGAATATACAGGCTGAATTTTTAACATTCACTTTGTAATATCACGCTGTCATGTTGATGATACGGATTTATTCAGTTGAAAAGTAAAAAATACAAAAGATCAAACTTGATCTTAATCTATACAGTGATGAATTTATTATTCGATATAATACGAAATAATACATCGATGTACGTGCATATTTCACAAGTTTGTCACATTTGGTATTGAAAACTCGATCATACGTTATTTAATCGATTAAAGATAGTATCGAAAAATCAGTTTCCTTTGATACTCTGCAAGCTTGTAGTTCTTGAGAAAGGAGGTTTTTAATCTAATGGGGTAACACGATATGTCTCTTTTACCTGCGAATGAAAACCTTTCAGTTGAGTTTTTTTAACCTGATAGCGCTTTGATTAAAGTATCAATTTAATATAAAATATATATTAGAGCCTTGAAATGGCAGCCTTTAATTTAATATCAGCTTTCATTACACTTCCCAGTGCTCCCCCCCCCCCCTTTTATGAAAAAGATCATAGGCATCGGATTTTCTGTAGTTCAAACACACCATCTTTACCAGATCGAATTACATTTATTTCATGTACCTTGTATACAAATATGAAAGCGTATTAAATATAAAATTACAAGAACAATTAGAAGACTGAAAGAAACTGACTTCGTTTTCCATCTTCAAACAAAAAAGATTCGTGCTTATATGCGAATCTATCTCGGCACGATAACTCTATTACAAAGTCTCTCAGACGAAAATGTTGGCTTTCCATGAAATAACATTGATACGTACAAACATACCTCCGTCATTTCGCCATTTATCGGAAAGGCAAACGTTCGAATTCGCAAACGTCTCGTCGGTATTTCCATATGATAGTGTGAAATTTCGTGGCTAAACGGCGGGTCATCCGCATTTGAATAAGATTTGAATTTTCCATCGACGAGTTCGAGCTTCGTTCGTGCAGAAGTACAGTCGAGAACAGAAATAAGTGGACAGATGGTAGGAGTAGGCATCAATGAAATTTAATCGAACTCGTACTATACTATATTAAATGTACTTCGGTTCAACTTATTATATATTTTTACAACGCAGATCTACGTAGTAAACAATTGAAATTAATATTTATATTTTTGTATAACCAGCCGTTGTTTAAAGAAACTTCATCGACACCTATTTCACCACTACCGTCCATTTGCTTATGCGCTCGACTGTATATCTATAGAGCCAGTTATACCGTTCGTGCGCTGTTTTATAAAGAAAAATTCAATAACAGGAAGAGAGAATCTTCTTCTGAAAACGAATCTGAATGCGACGAACCGAATCGTTGTTGTCGTCACGATGATTACGCGAACAAATTAAATCTCACGACCGCTTCTGTCTTGTGACGATAATCTTTGCAATCTCCGGGGGAGGCGCTCGTTGATTTTTCACGATGCTTCAGTTGTGTTGAAGCTGGAGTCACCGATTCTCTCTCTCTCTCTCTCTCTCTCTCCCTCCCTTTCTCTCTCTTTCTCTTTCTCTCTCTCTTTCTCTCTCTCTTTCTCTCTCTCTCTCTCTTTCTCTCTCTCTCACTCACCCTCTCTCTCTCTCTCTCTCTCTCTCTCTCTCTTTCTCTTTCTTTCTCTCTCACTCACCTCTCTCTCTCTCTCTCTCTCTCTCTCTCTCTCTCTCTCTCTCTCTCTCTCTCTCTCTCTCTCTCTCTCTCTCTCTCTCTCTCTCTCTCTCTCTCTCTCTCTCTCTCTCTCTCTCTCTCTCTCTCTCTCTCTCTCTCTCTCTCTCTTTCTCTGTTTCTGAGTAGGTTCGAATCTAGAGGCACCGTTGGAAACGGGAAGAGATGAGGAAAACGCACAACCGACGTCATCCTGGTCTCAGGTCTCGTTCCGTTTATTAATCCGAGAATTTTAACAGGAGCTAAAGGAAGTGGCGCAATATTTGCAGATTGCACCCGCCTAACACGACTCTGCTGGTTTATTCTTCAAAGACTAATATGCTACTTTCGCGAGTAGCCGAGCTTCCCGGGATATTGCTACTCCTTCGGCTAAGTGGAGCCGAGAAAGATTTTTAGAATCTTACGATCAGATCCGCCAGATTTTTCCTAATTAACTAGAGAGAAAGGATGAAGGGAATTGAGACGGTCTTTGGTCAGAGTCGGTTCTCTCCTTGCAATTGATCGGCCTCATGCACTTGGCCTTCATGACTTCTTTTCTCGGATGGTTGAATCGATGCAGTAAAGGGGCGGTTTCCGAGCTGCTTGGCCAACAATTCAGGGGAGGTTATCGTAGAACGCTCATATCGATTTGCTCGCTTCACGCATTCATTTGAATACCAGATATCTTGGTATTTTCTTTCCCTTCTTTTCTCTTTCTCTTTCTTAAAAGTCCGTTCTATTATGAACCTCCTTAGTTATTGAATTTTTTGATAATTTTGCGGAAATTCTCTACATCTTCTGAAGTACTCGTAACGAGTGTTGGAGATTCGTGTATGAATAATTTACTCGTCGACTAGTTCATCGGACATGGACTGGTGTGTTTTAAATGCGAGACAAGATATAAAATATACGTCGGAATATACATACGCATAGTATATCGCAGAATTTTTCTTTCATTGATTTTTCCGTCGCATTAACGATTACAACCGACATCTTCAATCCAAACATTCTAAGAATCTGTATACTTATTATATTACAAAAAGCGAGGAATTTTGAAGAATCGCACAAAACTAAAATCCATAAGAATCCGTAAAATCCTTGACGATGTGAAATGAAACTTTCCTTTATCTTATAATCAGCACAATACCCCGCAACTCATAACTACGACGACATGACGGTGTGAAAGGCAGGATAAATTACAACGTCGTCTTTTGATCAGTCCATTCACTGAGACACCAAAGACACGGTCTTAACCCTTCCTCTATCTGCAGCGGAGTTTATCCTTCACCTTGTTTTCATGTCGATATCAGGGCTGCTGTACGCATACAAAGAGATAGGACCATGTAAAGGAAAAGAGACGTTAAATCAACATTAAATCAATGTAATATTCTTCAAATTTTAGATTTTGTAATTTTACAATATCTATTAGATGACATATTTTTTCAGGTTTTAGATTTTTAGTTGCTT